TGGAATTGCAGCATTACCTATAGGTTTTATTACTAATAATTACTGAACAATGAAGGAGAACTGATGCTTGATAAGAAAAAAGACATTTGTACTATATAATGGTGCTTCGTGCCCTAATGCTTGGTAAGACATATGGCCATGGTTTTTTTTTTAAACCTGACACCTTGATCATATTTAAAGTGACACTAAACTCAGAAGTTAAATATTAAAAATACAGTCTCACATTTAGTTTGCTAATTTGTATTGAGATTGTAGTCCATCACAGGAGTGAGCTTGGAGCGGTGGCTACTTTATAACACACACAGGGACCATGGGGAACAAAAGTAGCCCCCCTCCAGGTGGAAGGACAGTGTCAGCACCAATTCAGAGATTTGAGGATCTACAACTGAGTGATTCACAAATAAGATACACTTTTGTTACTAGTTACGGTACTTGAATGCATTTTTAAGATTTAACTCCTGAGTTTAGTGTCACTTTAATTTACAGGCGTTACTGAATAACATATTTGTTGTGCATTCTTTATTTAATCAGTTGCATGTATTGTTTTTGTTTCCTCTTTTTATCATTCTTCACCTCACTTTTTCATATTTTACTGTTTGTTATGGGTGATCTAGACACACACAAAACACTTATATGTGCATACTAGCGGCTCATTCACATGGTCGTGCACATCCTTATGGCGTGCACACCCGTGCAGGGTCCTGCTCCTGGGAGGGGCAGGTGCTGTGTGTAATTCTGTGCGGCCACCTGTACCTACTTCCCTATGGGAGGAAACAGCTGCACACAGTTACAGGCAGACCCAAACCTGCACACGCCGTATAGATGGGCAGAACCGTGTGAATGAGCCCTAATGTTAAAGTAAAACTCCGTGCCCAGAGATTTTTGTAAGTTCTTATGTCGTAAACAATTGTTTCCTCTGCTCAGGTTTAATAAATGTCCGGATTGCTGAAGTGAAGTGGAAGAGGTACCATCCGACATAAAGAAAAGTATTGACGTTCAAGTACAGTGCAGCGATACTGGATCTCGTTGAGGAGAACTGGACAGAGGTTTGAGACATGCCTTTTTTTTTTTTAAAGATTAAAGTTTATTAGAGTTTTTATACAAAAAAAAGGCAAGTAAGACAGTACAGAAAAACAAGGTACTCTCAGATAACAAAGGGCTGACATGTGGCATGCTTCAAAATAAAGGAGAACTATGAGATGAGTGATTTCCACTCACCTCATAGTTCTAGCCGACCTGTGACAATGAGACTGTCACAGGTCGGCTCAGTAGATCGGGAGGTGAGCGAACAGATGCTGGCGTTCGCTCACCTCTCGATCCTGTCACGGCTCTCTGCCGTGACAGGGGAGGAGCTGGATTCCCCCCTCCCCACTCCGATCCGCCAGCGCTGATTGGCGGAACGGACGGGGGAGGGGGCGGGTACAGCTGGCTCTGCATCTAGATAGGCAGAGCCAGCTGTCACTCACCCAGCTGGGCGTATCTCGACATCGATGTCGGGATCCGCTCCGGCTGCGGCGTCTCAGTATACCGCGAGCTGTGGCTCGCGGTATACTGAGCTTAGGGTAACGGGAGGACGCTAGTTTGTGTCCTTCCGTTACCCTAAGGAGAACTATGGAGAAAAGCCCTGACTCCATAGTTCTCCTTTAAGCTCAATCCTACAACTCCTGGGTTGTCGGCCAGCATTTGTGCAGTGCAAAAATACCCCTAAAGCATCTAGAGTAATGGAAAAGAGAAGAGAGAAAGATACACTGTTAGGTTGACATCAATAAGCAGAACCGGTCGGTTGTGCAGAAGTGCAACCACACACTCCACAATCCATAAAATTGAGAATGGCGATTGTGAATGCTAGCTGTGAGCTCTTCCATCCGACAAATAAATTGCATCTCTTCAGTCCATTCTTTCATGGTCGGGAGGACCGATGACTTCCAGTGTCTCGGTATGACCGTTCTAGCTGCCACAAGGAAAAAGCGGAGTAATCCCTTTTTGGAGGAAGCGATGGATCCTGGTATCATGGAAAGGAGGGCCATCTGTGGGGTTCGAACGGTCTTTGAACCTGTAAGGAGGTTGTAAATGTCTAAGACAGTGGAGACATACCTTTTAAGCAGTGGTTGCTGTCAGAGACAGGCTTGTGCAATTCAAATTACTCTACAGGGGTACTTCACGCCATATTTTCTCCAAAAGCTGGTGTGGATTTCGAACACATATTCTGGACTTGTTCCAGGATCTCCACTTTCTGGCAGGATGTAGTGGATTGTAATAATTGTCTTCCACGTCCATACATCCTAATCTAGATCTTAATCTAGAGTAGGGGTAGGCTATTCCAGCCCTCCAGCTGTTGGGCAACTACAAGTCCCATGCGGCATTGCAAAACTGACAGTTACAGGCATGACTCCCAGAGGCATGTTGGAATTTGCACAGCTGGAGGGCCAGAGTTTCTTACCCCTGATCTAGATGGAGTTAAAAAGTATAGAAAATAAATTCATATTTCCTATGCTCCTCAGTTCCATCTAGTGGCCAAAATGCAGTATTACATCACATTCGACCTGAAAAGAAAATATCCGAACAATGTTCATTTTAGCCTTAATTTGCACAGAACAAATGCTTAAATGACTTACTTAATAGGGATGTGGTCTGTGTATTTATAAAGTGCCGGGAAGCCCATTGGGTGCTTGGTTTGAATGCCATGAGTTCATCTTGCTTCTTTTTTCTTCGTATGTACTTTCTACTTCAACAAACATTTATTAAGCAAAAAACTTAAAGTTGATGTGAACATACCACCCATCTTTCTGAGATGAGAAAGAGGGCCACATTTTAGCACAAGGAGGCAAAGGACACACCCCTGCCACATCCCCAGGTACACAAAATTATGCACAAAACATTATTCCACAAATGCTTTATTTGCCACTTTGTTCCTTTATTTTGCAAATAACAAATGTCATAATTTAGCACTTGGTAGATAGGTAATACATTTTTATTTAGGTTTATGTATCATAGAAAAAAAGGAGAACAACTGAGGAGGAAAGAGGAACAGAAAAATTTGGTTCCAAAACCGGGACAGTCCTTTCACATGAGGGACAGTTGTGAGCTACGTGTAAACCCTAATGACGTTTAGTTTGCTAAAGCACTGGGCACAATAAACAATTCTGCCTCGCCACCCTGGTGAGACCCTGTGCATCTCCTCCTGCTGCCCTGGTGAGACCTGCACATCTGCCCGATCCACTCTGGTGAGACCCTGCACATCTGCCCCTGCTGCCCAGTTTAGACCCTCCGCATCTGCCCCTAACGCCCTGGTGAACGCTCTGCATTTGCCCCTTCCTCCCTGGTGATACCCTGTACATCTGCCCCTGCTACCCTGTGAGAGCCTGCACATCTGCCCCTGCCACCCTGGTGAGAGCCTAAGCATCTGTCCCTGCCACCCTTGTGAGAGCCTCCGCATCTGCCCTTGCTACCCTGGTGACACTCTGCATATCTGTTCCTGCCACCCTTGTAAGACCCTCCGCATCTGCTCCTGCTGCCATGGTGAGAGCCTCTGCATCTGCCCCTGCTGACCAGATGATACCCTCCACATCTGACCTCGCTTCCCTGGTGAGACCCTCCACATCTGCCCCTGGTGAGACCCTTCTGCACTTGCTCCTGTGCAGAGACCTCCGGGGGAGGGTCAGTGAGATACGGTCCTGGCCCCCCCATAAGAGGAGCATGGATGCATGGGCCGACGGGCTTCTGTGCAGGCTTGGGAGCGTTAAGGGGCTTGAGAAAAAATCTTGCACCAAGGCCCTTTGTTCCTTAGATCCACCACTGGTCATTAGGCCCGGCAAAAGGACTGAGTAGTGTAAGTTTCCCTGTGCTGACTCTTTGTGACATCCCTGTGACAGCAGGGATCAGCTGTGCTGTCTGTCACTGTATGTCTGTTCTGATCGGAGGTCTGAATGGGGCACAACTTAACTAAAGGGACAAATACCACCACTGTCCCTGAGTTGTGAAGCACCCACCTTAAGTGGCCCCCATGGCTTGTGCCCTGCCTGCCATACCCTAAATACGCCACTGCAATGGGGACGTTAGTTCTGATTACCCTGCTGACCATCAAGGATTTCCCTCTCTTTGACGGGATTGTTTCTCATTTCCTGCTGTGGCTATTAAACAGGAAGTGAAGGAAAATCTCTCCTACATGACACAGATGGCAAAAAAAGAGCTGACAGGGGTTATGACCCTCCCTTACTCTATCCACATCTAAGAAAAAGGTTTTGACATTTAGAGGTTCTGGCACTTCGTCTATGTGTACTCTTCCACCATTTATATCCTCTGCACTAAACCTGTTCCAGGTGATTTTTAAGGCCTGCGTTGCTCAGCAGACTTCATACAATGAAAAGCTGAAATCTTTTGCATCAAATGGTCCCAGTTCACACCAACATGCTTCATTGGTATGGGCTGGGTGATAATGGATCATGCTGCAAGGGCCCATTTCCACTTCATGTGCGTTGCTGTGATGTAAGCGCAACTAAAAGAAGGGCATACATTTTTCTGCCTGATGCAGCACACCACCATGCAAGATAGTGTGGTGCGCTGCAATGCATGTTTGTCACTGAATGCTTTAGTGAGTTGGGGTGACTGCCATTGAAGATAAACATGCGTTTAACTTGCACCGCATTGCAAAAGTATGTTCAGCTGTAAAGGAAGCTGCAAAATGTGTTGAAGCGCAATGCACCTCACATTAAAGAAAGAATCCAACCTGACTCTTTTAATGCATGTCCTTGTCTGTTCCCTGAAGTCTCTATGAGCAGCTCTGTGTTGTTGTGTCTGCTCTGTCACATTGTATCAGCTGTCATTCCTGGCCTAAGCTCCTCCCACCTCCCCTAGACATTAGTATCCTCTCGTCATCGCGACAACTTCCTAGTATCCCGCCCCTTAGTTACAGTACGTGATAGATGTCCGCAAGAGCCAAAGGGATCGCAGATCTTCTGAAGGACAGCGCCGTCCATCCAATCAGCGCCCGGTGGGGCGGGACATCCGCTGTGTGTGCTCCTGGATACAGATCAGCTGCTGTGACTGTCGCCCCGGTTCAGGTGTCGTCTGCTTCGGTTTTTTCCCCCACCATGCTCGGTATAGACAAACTGCCCATCGAGGAGACGCTGGAGGACAGTCCCCAGGTCAGAGGCGTGTCTGGGTGGAGTTACCATGTCAATGGCTGTGGCAGGGCGGTTGCGTGTACCTGAGTCTGATGTTACTGTGATAGGCATGACTCAATAATGTATGGGGATGTGAAGTAATGTGCTGAGTGTGAGGCTTCCTCCTGGTGCTGTGATGTCTCAACCATACTTGCAGGCCACGCTGACACTGCTGCAGGATTCTAGCTGCTCTTGGAGTGTTAATATGGCTTCGTATAGGATGAATTGTGTGCAGGTTCCTGCTGCTTCACAGAATTAGCCAATCACAGTGGAGATATGGAAGCAGACGGTGGCCTATTCCGACACACCTGGGCCCAGGTGCAGGATTTTAACCAGTTGACATCCGCGGTGTTAAACCCCCTTCCCATCCAGGCCATTTTTCAGTATTCAGCGCTGCGCTACTTTGACTGACATTTATTCCGTCATGCAGCGCTGTACTGAAATGAATTTTATACCCTTTTTTGGGGACAGATAGAGCTTTCTTTTGGTGGTATTTAATCACCACTGGGGTTTTATTTTTTTACTATGTTAAGGAAAAATGACCGAAATAAAAAAAAAAACAGTTTCCCCTATATTAAATGATAAAACATTTATTATTACCCAATTTTTTGGTAAAATATAAAAGATGCGGTCACGTCGGGTAAAAAGACACTAAACATGTCAAGCCTTAAAACTGCGTGCGCGCGCGAAACCTCAAAAACCGCGCCGCGAACGAGCACATATAGGCGATCGGCGGGCTATGGACCCGCTGATCGCCTATATGTGAAACACCCGGTAACGGGTGTGTGCAACGGTCGGGTCTTTTCTGCCCGTGCGTGCCGAAAAAAATTGCCGTCTGGAGACGGCAACCCGCCAATGCTGCAGTGCCGTCTGTCCGTTTTTTTACTACGGGCGGACGGCAAGAGGTTAAAGAACTCGGGGGCAGAACCTCCCCTGCAAGGTTTGTTTGTTTTGGCCTAGGGAAAACCTCAGTCTTGTCCCTGTGGCCTCTCCCCCCTTCTCTCCAGCAATGGTATGTCCCTTGTCATCCTCACACCGTATACACTGTATTGGATGTGATGACTTGAGGATTCCTAGACCACTGCAGCAGATGGAGAGAGACGCCTCTGGGACCGGTCTAAGAGACAGCCGGCTCAGAGGCTTAGGTGAATATAACTTGGGTTTTTGACAACGCTGCTCCTCCTTAGATACAGTGGAGGACTGAGCATAGTCATCCTATAGTCCTGTATTGCATGTGAGGACGCAGAGGGCACAACCAGGAGCGTCGGTGAAAAGGAGAGTGCTGGCTGCCAGGGGAGTAGGGCAGCAACTAACCATTATTTTCATAATCAATTAGTTGGCCGATTAATTTTTTTCGATTAATCGCATAAGAAAATGAAATAAATACCATCCTTATTTTAAAATACACGAATGCCGTGTTACAAACATAAAGTTCACTTCAGAATAAAACTGCATGCACAATTTTTTGCAATCGGTCAGCACTGGAACGAACGACATTGCGGTACCGCGTGTTTTAGTACTGGCGATCACACTACGGACGGGAGGTGCTTTTGGTGGGGCACTGAAAAGAATGACACCACAACGCACCTCACGCAGCAGAATTTGTCAGGCCGAAAATGACTTCTTCCCCACCTTTATATAATTATTATTTTTTTTAATAATGGGGGAGAGGGGGGCTTTTTTTAACTTTTCTACTATTTTAAAATTATTTTTTAATTTATTTTAATTTTTTTACTTTACTCTTAGGGGCTTTTGGGAAATATCCCTTTTTGAAAAGAAAAAAAAAGAGATTGAGGACACAGTCCTCAATGTCTTTTTCTGCAGCCCCAGCACTCCATGAACAGGAAGCACTGCGTACAAGTACAAGTGTTGTGATTCAGGCACCCCTGGTAGATGGACATAGACCCCCGAACTGGAATAAATGATTGAAAAAACCTTTTTGAAGTTAAAGAAGAACTCGGGGCACACTTACCCCCGCACTTTAAGGGTTAAGCGCTCCTTTTCGTCTAGGTGCAAAAATAACAAAGTTACACTCACTCGATCACTGTAGCCAGCTGGCTTTTTCTTTTTTTTAGCCGGTCCTTTGCTTATAGGTGTATGGCCAGCTTAAGAGCAAGCCGGCTCCAAGTTCAGGTGAGTATAACTTTTTTGTTTTGTTTGTGGCACTTAGACAAAAATGAAAAGGGTTTTTTTTGCCCGGAGTTCTTTTAATTTTTACCACCATAGTGAATCTGAGGTTCTTGTTTCCCCCGTGCTTCTTTATTATTCTAGGACTTGCAATCAATATACAACGTCACACGTAGGATGTCTGGTGCATAAAATGGCCCAGCGGCAAACAAACGCCTTTCTGTTTTCTTGAATCTCATTGTCTTTTTCCAGACTCGGTCTCTTCTGGGAGTTTTTGAGGAAGATGCAGCCGCGATCTCTAGTTACTGCAGTCAGCTGTATAATGCCATGCGCAGGATTTATGATGCTCAGGTACGGAATTTAAACTGCCCTATCGGGTTATTAGTTATATATGATCAAAAGTGGAACTTGTGAAATCGCTTGATATAGTTATAGGCCAATGAACCACAAACTGATATTCACCTTTCCCAGGTTACCGTATTTTGCGCTCCATAAGGCACACCGGACCATAGGAGGCAGGGAGGTTCTGTGACAGCAGCTGTAGTTAGTGACAGCTGAGACAGGTGGCGCTGTGATTAAAGCAGACGAAGAATGGACGTTCTTCGTCTGCTCTAGGGGCTCTATGGTGAGCTCCGATGCCGTGGTCACGGGTCCCCCAGAGGAGAGGGGGACCCCAAAAACCACAGCGAGGGGGCCCCGTACACGATCGCCGCTCGGCTTGATACAAGTGATCTGATTAGATCACATGTAGTAAATGAGCAGTGGCTCCCACTGTACATTTAGCTCTGCTTGTCCGGAGCAGGGCTAAATGTACAAAAAAACTACTCACCCGGTGCCCGAAACTGCATGTCTCGGGCGATAGGGATTCGCTCAATAAGACGCACACACATTTTCCCCCGCCTTTTGGGGGGGGGGGGGGGGGAGTCTGTGTGCGTTTTTTAGTGCATCTTGTGGACTTGTGGATCGAAAAATACGGTAATTCTGGAAAATGGAGAGACCCCCTACAGACCCTATCCAGTCTGGCCCCCTATCCCCCTGGAGTCTCTTCAGGGAATGTTTAGTCACCTAATGTAAGGTTTTTATTTTCTAGGCTTAGTTCTGAGCTTCTCTCACAAGTTCTACTTCTGATACCCTTTCAATTGTTTTGTTGGAAGAACAGTTTTATGACATGTTTGTTACATTTGAGAAGTGGTTGAACAGATTTCATTTAGTGGTCAGCGGTATAACAGCGATGCACTTGTCAAGTTTTTCATTGTACTGCCCTCATTTGACTTAGATCACATGTGTCTTCAGAAAACCAATACACCTTTGTTTTCAGCGGCCGCAAGCAAATAGTCAGCACAGGAAAGGGAAGTGATGGTGAGATATTAGTTGCTGTATGACTGACTTGTGGTTTATTTGATGACCGGGCTCTTCACGATTTGTTCTCACTTCCCTGTTACACAAGAAAATGCAGCTGTAAATGTCATTGTAAGAGGTTCTTAGGTCTGCCCTCTGTCCTCACAATCTAGAACCTATCAAAATGTTGATGCTAAACTCAGGAGGTAAACCTTAAAAATGCATTCGAGTACCTTAACTATTAGCCTCTCCAAGCTCACACTAGTGATGGACTGCAATCTCATGTTTAGTTTACTCATTTGTATTGAGATTGTATTCCATCACAGGAGTGAGCTTGGAGCGGTGGCTATTTTACAACACACACACACGGACCATGAGGAACAAAAGTAGCCACCCTCCAGAAGGAAGGACAGTGTCCGCACTAGGGATGCACCGATACCGTTTTTTGGGGTATCGATTACCAGTACCAAATTTTTTTTTTCCGGTCCTCACCAGTACTGGTGCCGTGTGCCCCAATCACCAGCAGATCCAGGTGGAATATAATTCATTCATAAGAGTAGAGTGAATCGGGAAAATACCACATTATGGCCACTAGTTGGAGCTGAAGATCATACGTAATAAGTATTCATTTCCTGTCATCTTCGGGTCCATCTAGTGGCCATAATGTTGTATTTCCTAATTCACTCTATGCTTATACATTACATTCGACCTGGAAAGAAAATATACTAATACCATTAATTTTTGCCCCATTCGCACAGAATAAATGTAAATGCAGTTTTGCGAGTTGAATGGCTCTGCAATTTTTTTATAAATACACCCCCTAAGCAGATGAATAAGGTTAAGGAGGGCAATGTTTTCAATATGAAGCTAAAATCAAGAACATGGAATCATGACCTAGAACTAGCAGGAGGAAATTTCAACACTAAGCTTAAAGTATTACTGTACAGGAATTCTGAGTAGTTAATGCTTGGGGCAGACTTCCCTGCTTGTGCTTACAATCAAGAGCAAGTGATTTCCAGCAGAACTAGTGAGTCAGTCAACAGTAAGTGTTTCTAAGTTATAAAGTAATTATAACAGACTAGAATCTTGATTCATGCAAGGCTTGGGTCTCTTTGATGTAATAAACATGTAGGACAGCCATTCAGACCTGGCTGCGTGTCTTTTTTTCAGGTCATTTACTCATTAGGTAGTGACTAAAATCAGGAGGACAGCTCGAATGTCTGCAATTATAAATCAGCAGGTTTAAATCAATCAACAGACGCTAATCTTTTTGTAATAATACATTTTATTTTGACAGAAGTTTATTTCTAATTTTTAATATACTGAAATAGGTTTTGCACACTTTTCCATCATTTGACTTTTTTATGTTACCAGAATGAATTAAGTGCAGCCACACATCTGACGTCCAAGTTGTTGAAAGAATATGAAAATCAGGTATGTGGGAGAACTAACACAGCATATGGGCTTCCTCTAGGTCAGGGGTGCCCACAATTTTTTGTGTTAAGATCTACTTTTCAAATGACGAGATACATGAGATCTACCATCAGAAGAAAAACCTCTCCTTGCTCTGTCTCCTTGCTCTGTCTCCTTGCTCTGTCTCCTTGCTCTGTTTCCTTGCTCTGTCTCTCTCGGCTCTGTCTCTCTCGGCTCTGTCTCCTGGCTGTCTCTCTCCTGGCTGTCTCTCTCCTGGCTGTCTCTCTCCTGGCTGTCTCTCTCCTTCTCTCTTGGCTGTCTCTCTTGGCTGTCTCTCTTGGCTGTCTCTCTTGGCTGTCTCTCTTGGCTGTCTCTCTTGGCTGTCTCTCATGGCTGTCTCTCATGGCTGTCTCTCCTTGCTCTGTCTCCTGGCTATCTCTCCTGGCTATCTCTCCTGGCTGTCTCTCCTTGCTCATCCTCCTGGCTTTCTCTCCTGGCTGTATTTCCTCGCTTTCTCTCTCCTGGCTGTCATTCCTCGTTTTCTCTCTTGGCTGTCTGTCCTTGCTCTCTCCCCTGGCTGTCTCTCCTTGCTATCTCTCCTGGCTGTCTCTCCTTGCTATCTCTCCTGGCTGTCTCTTCCCGCTCTCTCTCCTGGCTCACCTTGCTGTATTTTGCAACAGGCTGTGTAAACTAATATCCTTTGATGTAATACATAGCTCTTCAACCACCAGTATTCACCAGAAAGGTGTCAGGGAGCTTGGCCAAGCAGACTCAGGCTAATAGGTAATTATGTGTGCACAGCTAAATAAATATACCAAAATGGAATAAAGGGGCCACCATTCATACCCTTCATGATCTACCAGCATCAGCTTTGAGAGCTACTGGTAGATCACGATCTACCTAATGGGCACCCCTGCTCTAGTTGATCTAAGTGCAGTGTGGTCAGGGGACTGTCAATGCTCAACTCCAGGCAAATAACTAAATACACAATTGAAATACACCGCCTGGCCTAAAAAAAACGAATCACCACATGGATTTAGCTAAGCAAACAGGTCAGAACCTTCGATTGGCTAAATGTTATGATCTGGGGTTGCTTCAGTGGGTCAGGTCTAATTTCAGCACCGTTATGTTCCCAAAAAATGAGCCTACCTGAATATACTGAATGGCCAGATTTTTCCATCAATGGATTTTATTCTTCCCTGATGGCACATTGGACATATTCCAAGATGGCAATACCAGGATTCATCGGGCTCAAATTGTAAAGGAGTGGTGCAGGGAGCATGAGACATCATTGTCACACATGAATTGGCCACCATAGAGTCGAGAATTTTAGGAATGTGCTGGAGAAGACTTTACACAGTGGCCTGATCCTCCCATAATCACTACAAGATCTTGGGGAAAACTTATTGCCACTCTGGAAGGAAATAATTGTTGCGGCACTGCATGAAAATGTTGCCACAGTGCATGAATGCCGTAATCAAAGCTAAAGGCGGTCCAACTAAATATTAAAGTATGTGACTTTTTTTATTTGGGCCTGGCAGTGTATATACATTATATGAACCTTTTTATGCCATAGGTTTAGTTGCTCTTTTTTTATCCAATCCAGACATTCCTTGCACAGCCCAGCACAGCCTGTTGCAGCCGTGAGCTTGTTATACACTTTGATTGCCATGATGTAGAGGACATGCCCTTGGCAATCAAAGGGTTAAAGCAAATGACATTTAATTTGCTAAATCACTGTGGATCATGAACAATTGTCTTTTTTTTTTTTGTCCCAAAAATAGTTTTTGGTTTTTTATTTTCCCCCCCCCCCCCATCATTCGTTACATCTCAGTGCTGCTGCAGCTTCTTCCTGTCTACATGCACACACTCTAGCGATGGTGGCATGACCTCTCTCAGGGCAGGTTTTTGCTGCTTTTGTGAAACGTGCCTACATACTATGAGGGGAATTTATCAGTACTGGAGCAGACAGAATCTGGAGTAGTTGCCCATGGCAACGAGTCAGCATCCACCTTTCATTATCAAACCTTAAGTGAACAAACTGAAGAGAGAAGCTAATTGGTTTCCGTAGGCAACTGCTCCAGATTCTTCTGCTCCAGTTTGGATAAGTTCCCTCCTATGTGTTCTACTATTGGTATTGGTACATTTAAAAATGTACCCGTGAAAACCATTCATTCCCTCTGAGTGAACATGAATCCAATGTGTGTGTTGTGAGTTTCCCACTCTGGTTTCTCATTGTAGATAATAAAATGTTAATATGTAGAAAGAAGTCTTAGACTCTAACCTACGTTTCAGTTCTGTTCTGTTGATTACTACTTAATTGCATGGTTTAAAATGATAAATCTCACGTTATTGGTGCAAAGTACAATTTGCTGAACATGCTGATTGACAGTAAATCCAGGAGTGAATATACAGAGGATCATTGTGTCAGTATTTTATACTAGAGGTTAAAGTACAACATACTTAAAGTACAGAAATGTAGAATTTAGTTGCAGCTGCACAATATCAAACACTAGGGGTGCACCGAAATTTTGGCCACCGAAACATTTCTGCTGAAAATGCAGCTGTAAATTTAGTGCATCCTGACTGCTTCTCTCCTTCCCACTGGGCGGCGGTCTGTGTCCCCTCTGATGCCTGCTGCTCTCCCGCATGCTTGCTGACAGAGGCAGTGGGGATCCGAGGGGACACAGACCAGTGGGAAGGAGAGAAGGTTTAAGGAGGCTGAGCAGGGAGGAGACAGCTCAGGATCCCAAGCGGGGTGGTGCGGTGCATAGACAGCTGCCACTGGAGGCTAAGGCACCCCTGCTTGGCTCCTGTGACAAGCGGAGAGTCAGGCTAGAGAGCAAGGATCAGTGAGATGTCAGGTGGCTGAGCTCTCCCGTCTGGCTCAGTCTCCTGTGACAGATAGATAAGTCAGGATGGAGAGCAGCTTACAAGCACTCAGCGATCAGCTGATTGCTAAGTGTTTGTAAATAACTTAGGACACAGTAAGCTTATTTTGTCCCTAGTTATGAATGAATAGGAAGTGCTCTACATCACTTCCTGTTCATTCATGATTGTGGACATAGTAACTCATACTATCCCCACAGTTTATGAATAGACAGGAGCACTCAGTAGAGAGGCTTCCTGTTTGTTCATGACGGGCTGCATAAAAAGATTTAGGACTCCTTTTCCGTCCTCTTCCGTCAATCTCCTTTTTTTTTTCTTTTTTTTTTTAAAAGGGCAATATTAGGGGGTCTGTTTAGACCCCTAATATTTCCCCAGAGCCCCTGATAGTAAAGTAAAAAAAATATATAATAATAATTTAAAAATAATGTAAGAAATGTTTAAAAGGTTGGGGACTTCATTTTCAGTTTTGGCCTGAAAATTCAATTTTGGTGCATCTGTATCAAACACAGCCTCGTAATGTAAATTTACTGTTTATAGAAGTGGAACTCCAGGCATGTATAAAAGATACAAATAATGCAACTCTGCAATCATGAATAAAGCATTGCATTTCTGTGTTTTTTAATGCAAGCAGTGTAAGTGCCTGAATTTGACTGGCAGTTCCTGTACAGCAAAGATCAGACTGGAAGAGGGAGGGACAGGACTGGGAGACCATTAAATGTGCTGCATGCAAATGTGTTGACAAGAAACTGATATGAAATGCTGACAGGAGGGTAGAAAGAGTAAAAGGATGTATTTAATATGTGTATTTAAATGTTTGCCTTGCTTTCACTGGGTGGGCTGATAGGGATGTTAAACAAGTCCTTTAACAGGCTCACCAACAGAGGTATTAGTCTGTATTTTGGCCAAAATATGTAAGGCCACCACCCGTGCCAAGGGTCCTCTTTTCTGATGAGTCCTACACTAATGTTTTGCAGAGTATAATCTTTTTTTTTTTTTACTTCCTATCATGTAGGCACAACAGGAAGTGAGAAGTAATGTCTTGAAATGAAGGGCAGTCCCAGTTTATACAGTTGTCCCAACAGGGATAAACTTAATCCTCCTGTCCCATCGCACACCTGACCGGACAAAAACCCAAATCCAACTGGGTGGGTGCGGTGGTGACAACGGATGCCTCCGTGAAATGTAGATAGATGAAAGTAGTCACTCGCACTCCATGATATTAAAGTCAATGCTGTTTATTAACTGAGATAACACACATCTCCTTAGTTAAGGAGATGTGTGTTATCTCAGTCAATAAACAGCATTGACTTTAATATCATGGAGTGCGAGTGACTACTTTCATCTACCAACAGGGATAAAGACGGCAATATACACTTTTTACTGATGATGGGACACAGCAATAACAATTTTGTGTAAACTTTTTTTTCTTCTGGTTGCAGAGGTTTCCTCTTGGTGGTGATGATGAAGTGATGACATCAACATTACAGCAGTTTTCAAAAGTGATTGATGAAGTAAGTCATTTGCCCCTTACACTGCATATAATGTTGTTTATTGCAGGCCAACCTAGGGCAAAATATGACTCTAATCCCTACCTACAATCCCTGAGGGTTTTTATATTTCCGTATGTTCTGCTGGAAGTTATACTGCCCTAGTCCCCCCTCAAGGTCCTTTGCCGGCACTGTTACAGTGCTGCCAATGGTCCCTTGCCAGCCGGTCCCCTACTGTCCTCTTGCAATCACATTACTAGAACTCTTGCTTGTTTGTAGGTGACCAAATACTTATTTTCCACCATAATTTGCAAATTGATTCGTTCTAAATCAATGTGATTTGTCTGGATTTGTTTTCTCATTTTGTCTCTCATAGTTGAGGTCTACCTATGATGCCAATTACAGGCCTCTCTCATCTTTTTAAGTGGGAGAACTTGCACAATTGGTGGCTGACTAAATACTTTTTTGCCCCACTGTATATATATATATTCAGCGATCAGCTAAAGAGGGTGGGAGGGGGTTTAGTTATTCTGGAGATGGGCTCTAAACTATGGGGCAACTGGCTCGATTCACCAGGCTTTTCCCCCATGTCCTTCAAGCTGATCGCTTACTTTCCTGATATAAGGGACAGTTGCATTTTACACAAGTTTTTAGTCTCTTTTATGTAACTGTAAAACATACTTCTGATTTCCTGTGATCAGGAGTTGGCCCCCATACTCTCGTGTCATTTGATAACAGAACACTGGGGGGAATTTATTGAAACTGGAGCAAACCCAATCTGGAGCAGCTGTGCATGGGAACCAATCAGCTTCTCTCTTCAGTTTGTTCAGTTAAGATTTGAAAATGAAAGAGAGAAGCTGATTGGTTGCCCTGCACAGCTGCTCCAGATTTTGTCTGCTCCAGTTTTGATAAATTGCCTTCTGTGTGTCTAGTGTGGCTTCTTTGCCCTGCGCCCCTTTGCATGAGTGATATCACAGCTGGGATTGTTATATACCTGCTGTTTGTATGCGATTTCTCAAATCAAGGCTTCTATTTTCTGCTGTCAAGTATACCGGAGTACCTGCTATTTATATGTATTGGGGTATAGGGAAGGGAGGTGGAAGGGTTTTGGGAAGAGGGAAATTTTTTTTTTTACTTCTATACCCATAATGACAACATTTGTTTAATGAGAACTACTTTATTTGTAAAAAACGCCTACATAGTCTCATATGGCTTAAAGCTCCTCGTTAAACATTTTAAAGTGTTGTGGTGCAGATTTGATGAACTTTTCTGTTCTTTTTATATCTTTTTCCCACAGCTGAGTTCCTGTCATGCAGTGTTGTCCACACAGCTGGCCGACGCCATGATGTTCCCCGTTAACCAGTTTAAAGAGAGGGATTTAAAAGGTACATTATTGTTTGTCTTATTGTGAAGTTCTAGGACTGATTTAATTTCACTGAAGTAAATGTAAGGCCATGTGTTTTGTTCTGGATAGAGTAGTGAATGGTTATAATTTTATTTGTTTTGTTCCTGACAATGGTTATCAGGACAAATAGAGAGGGTGAATCCCTTCAGCAGGGACACGAACGGCAATACATATCTGACAAGGATTCTAACCCTTCTGTACTCTGTTCAAAAGTCAAACTAACAAAAATTTGACTTTGGGTTAAGTGAATGGGGAAGGCAAAAACAGCTTCCCTCAGATTAAAGAAAGAATAGCACTGCTTAGACTTGCAAGGTTGTCTGGAACTGTAGGGAGGATGAGAGAGCCATTAGATGACATCTCCAGCATTGGCTTATCTGCAAGAGAAACACAGCAGTTGTATAAGACTTCCTACCTAGTCAGATCAGTGCTATCACCCCAACAATATGATTGGTCAGGGCTGTCTGATGGTAGCCACTCCATCCTGGACACTCATTTCATGTTATGGGTACCCTTAGTACTGCAGAATTAACCCTTTCGCTGCCAAGGACATTTTTAGATTTAGTCAGAAAATTATTTTTTTTGTGCACGGATACTGATTTTGGTGTGTTTTAACAATTGAATTGTGTATTTTTATCGGTTTAATATTAATTTGAGAAACATTTGCGCAATTATCGCAGGGCCTACAAATTTAGTATCACCATCTTTTTATTCTACCGGGCCTGCGCTTTCAGAAAATATATGGTTTGGGGGGTCTTTTACAAACGCTAGCAACGCAGCAGTTGAAAAGCAAACCAATAGGAAAAAATTGCAGAAAATTCAAAAATGGCTTGGCCAGCTGATTTGAAAAATGTTCCGGAGGGCTTGGCAGCGAAAGGGTTAAAGTGTATGTAACCCCAAGAATGAATGTCTCTTCTTTGCTCTCTTTTTGGTCTGATAAGTGTAGCTTTTAAAGTGTATGATTTTATCTGTTCAATAAATGCAAAAAATACCAGCTGATCTGTTCAGAAATCTTGTGATGTGGTAATTTCTTGTGCTCGCTGTCTGTGCGCAAGGAGGGTTATGGAGATGGGGAGAGGAGGAGAAGTCTCTGTTCTTTGTAATCCATTAGACATGAAGTAGGCAGGGCTGACACCAAATGCTTAGGAATTTAGATGTGTTTTCATGTCAAAAGGGAAGGTAGGAACACTCTATGGGGTCTTTTTATATATTAAAAAAAAATGTGCATAGGTATGCGCCCAGTGAAACTGCAGGTACATTAGTTATGTGTGAATTATCCAGATTTTGTGAAAATAAGGCAAATGTGAATGTTTGCTGGCTGAATATTTCTGGTTATTATTTAAGTGTAGCACCAATTTTTGTGCAGCCCTGTCTTATTCTATTAAACAACCATGTTTCCCCCATCATTTTCTCATTGCAGAGATCTTGACTTTAAAAGAGATATTTCAAATTGCCAGCAATGGTATGTATACCTTTTTTTGTAGCAAAGCTGCCTAATTGAATGACTTCCTTTAAAGAGACCCTGTCACTAATGTAAAACAAACTTCAGGTAAAAACACAGAAAGATCAATTATTTTTAATACTTGCAGTGTTTTTTTCTTTTTGTAATTTTTGATTGACTTGCAATGTGCCTTTCAACTTACTAGAAAATTTGACAGCGCCAGGCATATTATAGCCTTCTCCTCTTCTAGGAGTGTATAATTACTGTCTGTGCTGGCCCAGCTTTTTTGCCCCTCCTGTCACCTCGCTACATCATGTAACTTCTAAAAGGGAAGCAAAGGGGAATATTATTAAGTATCTCTTGAGTGACAGCTGATAGTTGACAGTCTGTTGGGGCTGCTAACATCATATCCACGATGGTGGCACCCAGCAGAAGTCTCAGGGCTTTTAGAGGTTTACACAAGGGATCTCTTGCAGGTAAATAACATATCTAAAATACATTAAATGCTCATATTATCTTATGGGAAGATTTGTGTTGAAATTAATGGTCCTGTGACAGGGTCACTTTAAAATTATGTGTTTAACTAGGGATGCACCGATACCAAGTACCGTACTCGGTACAAGTACAGATACTTTTCAGGCTCCAAGACTAGACTAGAGAAAATTTCAAAAGTTAGGCAGCTGTCATTTGTAAGGAGCACACGGAGCTCCTGGGATTTGTACATCCCTGTTTTAATGTATGATTTTGTTTTTATAAATAAAGGGATGCACCAATACCAGTTTTGCAGGTACAAGAACTGATACATTTTTGTTTAGTGTCATGTGACAGTTTTCCTAAAACAATATCGACTAATGATTTCAGGAGAGTGGTGGAGCGCCAGAGCCAGGTCCCAGCTGCAACCCTGGTAGTTCTCATGAAAATGCCAAGTATCTGCACTGGTACTCGGAAAAATATCGGTGCATCCCCAGTTTGAACCCTTCCCTGCTCTTTCCAAACTTTAAAAAAAAGTTTTTGCTGGAGTTCCACTTAAATTCAACATTTTGGGTAACCTGAGTTAAATGGAGAGTTCTCTAGCTCACTGATGTGATGCGATTTTTATTCTTGCTTAGATCATGATGTAGCAATCAACAGGTACAGTCGATTGTCCAAGAGACGAGAAAATGAGAAGGTTAGAAGATTTTCTTTTTTCTTTTGTTACCTTGGTTGCATTAAAGGAACAAACCCTGAATTGAATCTCCTTTCCAGCGTATGATTTCTTTTTTTTTGTTCATTTATTGCTTCATTTTAGATGCTTCTTTAAACTTTTTTGGCCATAGTTCTCTTCTGGGTCACAGGAGGGCATTTACTAATGTCCTCCTATGACCCAAAACTCAGCATATGGCGAGCTATTGCTCGCTATATGCTGACAGCACAGAACCGCACTGCAGCCGGGAAGGATCCAGACAATATTGTCAGGATCCACCCCTTTACCTGATTGACAGCTGGCTCTGCCTCTCTCCCAGCAGTTTGTGATCGCTCAGTTCTCAGACGACGAGTGACGGCTGCAGTGTTACATGTCAGCTCTAACTATGGGGATGAGTGTATTTTATTAGTCTCAATTCATAAAATTTGTGTTCAGATACCCAAACCCTTCATTTTCCTTTCGATCTTCATTTTAGTTTGGTGACTGTTTTGGCCTTTCTGTAATTCATCCTTTTATTTCTTTCCAGTAGCTCCTGTCATTAGCCTGCCCTCTATGGAGCCACTGCAGCATGTGTGCTCCCCTCTCCTTGAAACTACACGGATGCTTGCAGCTGCTCTGTGCCACCACGTGCACAGGTGCCACAGACCGGCTGGAGACATAATTAACTTAGGATCCATCCACCTTTTTTTGTGGACCAGTAGAGACTCTCTCACGCATACGCATTGCGTGCAATGCATGTAGTCCCATCATTGGGTATGGGGCAGGAGTTTGTGTGCACCCTCCCTTCCGAAATGGAAGTAGGATAGAAACACTGCACAGAAGTCAGAGGGGTTTAAATATGACATTTACAGAACCATTATTTACGAAACATTTGAATTATTTACAATATTAAAAGATATTTGAATAGACTGCTTGAAAGGATAACTGTGCTTTTAGAGAAAGTACCTCCCCTAACCCCAAATTATACCCCCTTGCCACCCCAAATACATCTTCAGAGTCTCTGGCCTCTCCTTTCTCAGTTTATCCTCATAGCCCTCTTTGAGACAGTTTCTTGAGTGTCTCTTGTATTCAGAGAGAACCCCTTAGAAGTCCATGGGGTTTGCTTATGCAGGCACAGCCAAGGCAGAGAACATTTTGGCCACAAATTCTCAAGATTCCTATGGGCTGTGGCTGCCTGATTTAGGCAGGTATAATTCTGAGGTGGTGGTTGGGGGGCAAAAGGATAACTGTACGTTCTCTTAAGGTGAAACAATATATCTCCATTCTGAAGAGGTATGCCATGCTGTATCCGGACCCGCCCCTGTGCTTACATGCCCACCACTTGGTAGATTATGCCATCATGGGAGTGTTGAGGAAAGGTGCATTGCATCCACTGCAGGGCTCCTGTTATCGCGTGGTTGCTTACAGCCATGGTCATAGCGAAGGGGTTGAGAGATGATCACGTTGGCTCCCAGCTGCTAATCTTTGTCTCCTTAAAATTCAGTTTGTGTTGGAGAGATTTTTAATTTTTTTTTGGTGGGGTGTGGTTAAACAATCTGCCTGCTCGATTCTCCTGTCATAGAGTAACATGGCTGCCTGTTTCATTTGTAGACTAAATTTGAAGCCACAGAAGACGTGTACACTGCCAGGAAGAAACAGCACCAGACGATGATGCATTATTTCTGCGCACTGAATACCATCCAGTACAAGAAGAAAATTGCAATATTGGAACCTCTTTTAGGTTATATGCAGGCTCAGGTAAGCCCCATAACTTCAAGAGTACAAATGCATGCTGTTTGAATGTCAGCCTTTCTGGGCATTATTAATGCTGGTATATTGTAGTGATTTATAAGTTAACAGGACCAGGCAAGTCATTTAAAGTGAACCCCCCTTGGGTTTAGAAGTTCAGTGTTTTGCATACACTGGTTATAGTGTTTGTAACTTTTGGACCAGTGAGGTCATCCCAAGCTTAGAGTGAGAGCAGAGTTACACTATAGGTCCCAAATTTTGTGACATATAAAGGGTTAGTTCACCTTTTAATTTTCTATAAAAAGGTGAGCTAACCCTTTTAAATGACATAAAATTTGTCTCACAACACCAGTCCACACACCACTTCTCTGTGATTATGAACCTGTGACAATGCTGACCAATGAGAATCTCCTAGTCTACTTTCTTCTGGAGCAGCATCCGAGAAGAAAGATTCTCACTAGTCACTTCAGTCATGTGCCCGTATGAACCAACAACAGTCCTGCCCCCATTGCAACCATTATGTTGCTATACAACCTGCGGGGCTGTATGGTAACATTTTCAAGTTTCCTAACTGTTATACTGGCTGGGAGGGGGCGGCAGGTGAGGGGCATCATATGTGGGGACTTTGGGGTGGGGGTTACTGAGTTAGTTCACCTTTTTTAAGTTTTTTTTGGTGAAAAGGTGAACTATCACTTAAGGGGACAGTTTATATTCCCACACTTAACTTTTTCATAAAGAATGATAAGATTTATTGTTGTAAATGTTTTCCATGTGTAAAAATGTTAAATTTCCACTGGACTACGGTGGGGGAGGGTGGATTCATCCATTTGATGGCTATGGGTTTATGGGCCGTAACACACACACATAAATGTATTTTGGCAATGTATTTTGCTCATTGCTTGTTCCGCTTGAATAACAGAATACTGTAAATCTCATCAAATGTTTTATGCTATTTTTATATACATAGATAAGTTTTTTCAAAATGGGCTCTGAAAACCTTAATGACCAGTTAGAAGAGTTCCTGTCCAACATCTCAACTAGCGTGCAAAAGTAAGTATTAAGTGAACAATTTCTTTAATATTTATCTTTTTCATTTTTTTTCCAGTCTAAATGGACAGCCATATTTGTTGATTACATATATATGCTGTGCTTGCTGTATGGCACTCAGCACAGTGATTGCCTATTACCATCTCAGTCCAAATCTTTGTACAATTCTGTCAGAAGAGTTTTATTCTAAGATTTAAATTGACTTGATGAAGTGTTCTACCTCAGGCTACACAGTCTGGAGTCTACTCCCTCCAGGTGGATAATACTTCAAGGTGCACTCCACCCAAAAAGGGTATGATAGTTTCTAGTAGATGATGGAGACTTATCTCACCTGACAAGTTTTATCCTTTGGACACTTTATTGGTGAGGTCTACACACTGACTATGACCAGGAAGATCTCCTTGTTGAAGTATCCAAGATGTAATAGATGCCAAGGGCGGATTCAGCCCACCTGGCTTTGCCTATAAATAACAAATCACTTTTGGTCAGACCGACCCTTTTGGTTGATATTCTTACTACAGTCATTCAGCAAGGATGCTGACTGCACATGCTGTAGACATAAAAAGGGTCACAAAAATGGCACATCAAGCATGTAAAAATATACAGTGGTTACATGATTATTAGATTAACAGTGCAAAATGAATTTTACATATAATTGGTAACTTTCTTTTTATAAGTTGTCTCATATTTTATTTTGCGTTTACAGACAATTCCAGAATAAATATTTTTTTTTTTTAAACTCTTATTTGTGATAACTATACAATCTTGTTTGTAGTTGAGCTGATTCTGTAAATATGAGCTTCTTCTGTCCCACAACTATCAGTTTTTTAGAGGGTTTTGATTGATGAACAGGATTGAGAGGTAACCTGTAATATCTCTGTGTCAGTGTCCGCCGGGAGATGGACAATGATGTGGAAAACATGCAGCAGACCATTCAGGACATGGAAGTGGCCAGCGAACCTTTATATTTGCCAGATCCAGACCCAAAGAAACTTCCCATCAACCGCAATTTAACCCGCAAAGCCGGCTACCTCAACATCCGCAGGTACGAGAATACTTATGGCTTACACATTTTTCACATCATAGCGCATGAATTAGTGTACACATAACAAGACTTAACCGGCATGTTTGTTTTTGTTTTTTTTTAATTGTGATGCTCCATGCTGCATTTTTAATCCCTTTTTTTTTGTTTTATATTTTTTATTAACAAACTCTGCAGTGGATTGCCACACATTTTTGCACTGCAGGAGCATTTTTTTTTTGTTTTTTTTGTTCAGTGCAAACCAACACAGTGTGTTGTCCAGTAGTAGTGGTAGCAGTCATCACAAAAATGGTGTTTGTATTAGTGTCCTGTGATTTACTTTAGGCAGTAGATATTGCTTTTGGAAGAATACAAATAATTATAACATGAGGATTTTGGCATCGTCATCCTACGCATACTGTGTGGGTTGTATGCGCAGAAGACTGAGTTGATAGACTCAGACTTCACTTTTCCTGGCTAGGTGCTGCAAGGTGCTGGGTCTTCCTTGAGACTTCCTACTAGTTACACATGCCTAAAACAGCTCCCACAGAAATATTTGTGACAGTAATAATTATGTGTCCAGACCACCTCAGCAGACCCTACAAGTCATATTTAGTCATAAAAGCTCCAATGCAAACATTTTCTCTTGATATCTTCTTATAGCTCATGATTTAGCGGCATCTATTAATAGCGATTATAGATAACTAAGTGAATGCAATAGAACCTTTTGCCAAATACTGTAAAGTGCATTGAGTTGTAATATATGGGATTATAGATTTGTTGAACTGTCACTGAATTGCTTTCTAGATGTTTAACATGCTGTATGCTAGTACCTTAATATTCAATCTTTGTTGGCATGATCTTAATGAATATATACAAGGAGAAACTCCCTCTCGTTCTTGTCTCTAGCCAATAAAATGTAATGAGCATATTTAATAACATATTAAAAGAGGAATGGCATAGCAGCCAAATAGATTTTTTTTTTTTATTGCAGCTTTAGAAATGCATCCGAACGGTTGCCATAAATGCTAAGCAATCTTTTTTCATTTAGAAATTTTTTGATACGTATGATCCATTGTCTTTGCAGCATTACTGTTCCTTTTCTAGATTTAGTCTAACTGATTATTTTTCCTGTTTCAGTAAGACGGGGCTGGTGTCCTCATCTTGGGAACGCCAGTATTTCTTCACTCAGGGGGGTAATCTCATGAGCCAAGCCCGAGGCGATGTAGCAGGCGGTCTAGTCATGGATATCGACAACTGCTCTGTTATGGCTGTGGACTCTGAAGATCGGAGATACTGCTTCCAGATCACCTCCTTTAATGGCAAAAAGTTGGTATTTAAATAAATAAATTAAACAACTTAAATATTTACCTACAATTCTTGATGCTTTAAAATCCTATAATGCTTCAAATGTATATGCCATATGACTATGCAAGTACTTCATTATGGTGACTTTCCTTTTATATTCAGGTCTGTAATTTTACAAGCAGAGAGCAAAAAGGACAGCGAAGAGGTAAAATGAAGTGTGTGTGTGTGTGTGTGTCGTTCAAAAATCTTTTTGTTCTTATTCTGAAGGCTGCACATTTTAGGGATTTCTTTTCGCTAACCTGCCATATTTATCCAGTGGGGGGAAAAAGGATGCAATTGATAAACTGTTGGAAATGCATGCACATGCATGAAATCAGTCCACCAAGACTTTTGTTACAAATCTGCTGTTGATCCAACATCACTGACTGTCACAAGTTACACCCAAAATATCTTAGGTGTTCATTATTTTTCAAACTGACAGCTGTGTCCCACTCTGTGCCTCAGCAACCCAGATAATGACTTCTGTGTAAATGAAGCCTGTTAACAGAACGGTATTTGCAGTCTTCGTTCATTATCATTTCATAATAGTAACACCGTTACAATGTATTTTGATTAGTTCTTTGGCGTGCAAGAATTATTTCCGTTTAACACCTTTTATTATGACAAACTGGAAGGTTGACCTAAGCCTGAAAACTTGGATGAAATGTAAAATGCTGGTGCTCAGTAATGGCTCTATCCACCTTGATCCTGAGCATATATAAACACAGGTTCCGGCATATAGCTTCATGTGCCCATCCTTTATTGAATATCAGCTGAACAGTTCACATCACAAAGCTTACTAACTTGTTTCAGCCAAACATGGCCTTATTCATAGCTATGACCAAGGCTATGTGTGGCTGAAACGCGTTAGCCGGTTTTATGATGTGAACTGTTCATGTGTCCTATGGCCAATTTTGGGTATGGTAGTTTTCTGCGATTTCGCGGGTGTGCGCAATTTTAAAGCTTTACATGTTTGGTGTCTATTTAGCCGACGTTACCCGATCTTTTATATTTTACCAAAAAACTGGTTAATAATAAGTGTTTCCTAACATAATGTAAAAAAAAACTTTTTTTTTTCAAAATTTTCTGTAATTTTTCCTAATTATAATAATAAAATATAACCCCCCGTGGTGTTTAAATACCACCAAAATAAAGCTCTATCTGTCCCCAAAAAATGGTATAAAATTCATTTCAGTACAGCGTTGCATGACGGAATAAACGTCAGTCAAAGTACCGCAGCGCTGAACACTGAAAAATGGACTGGCCAGGAAGGGGGTCTAAACACCTGGTCTTGAAGTGGTTAATAAAGGATTGCAGCATGAAGCTGTGTGCTGGAACCTGTTATATCACTATTATTAATCCTTATGTAACCGTAATCAGCTCTAAGTATTTCCTTCCTCTTCTTCCATTGGCTAATTTGTGTGTGTATTTAATATTGTACATTTGAGAGACCAGAAAAAAAGCTTATTTTTTAATTTTGCTACATCTTAACAAATATAACATTATAGAAAAGTTATTGAATTGTTTCTCTCGAAGCTCAAATGTAAAAATTGCTCTGGGCCTGAAGGGGGTTATTTCAGTTGTGCGAGAAACAGAAGTACATTTGTATTCTATATTAACCTTCGTTATTTGTGAAGAATTTAATAAAAGACATATTAGAATGCTGCCTGATATCTATGGGTGCACAATGTTTATTTCTATGTTTTTTGTTTTGTTTTTTCTCTCCTTGCTCAGTGGATAAGTACAATAAATAACATCTCTAAACGCATCTATCTAACGGAAAACCCAGAGGTGAGTTCCATTCCACGGAGAAAAAAGTAAATGATTTGGATTACACAGATGTGCCTCTAATAAATATCTGTTAAAATGACTCTGCCACTACAACAAAAACATTGGCCAAACATCGCCCTGCTAAGGAAGACGATTTATACTCGCCTATCCCACTATCTTCTGCAGAGATGCAGCCTTTGGCTGAATTTCTACCTCCTATATTTCTGTGTGCCCTACCACAAACTGTGGTTCCATCTGCAGACCCCTACATCATTACTGCGTCCTTTAGTAATATAGGGGCAAGAGGGTGGACCACAGCACTAACCCAGAAATGTGTCAGATGTGAAGATTCTGCTCTTAAACTGAACAAAGATCAGAAAAACTGGTGGAAGGATAGGAGAGTGAACGGTTTTCTTTTGCTGGGTGACTTTTGGGTGCAGTTTGTTTTGTGGAACTCCTAGAAAAGCGTTTTCTTTAAACATGCCTCTGGAGTTCTAAGCCTTTCCAATCTTTTTTCATTCCAGGAAACTGCTGCGAGAGTAAACCAAAGTGCTCTGGAAGCAGTGACACCATCTCCATCTTTCCAGCAGAGACATGAGAGCATGAGGCCGGTGTAAGTTAATCACACATGTGACATTTGATCGTCCATGACAATGGTTTCCAGTATCATATGAACGGTGCTGCAGAGTTTTCTATCCTTACTCTGCTTTACAAGCCTTAAAGGGAAACTATAGTTTTATTTTAAGGTAGCTGTATTTGGAGGTGTTTTTGCATTATGCACCTTAAAGTGAACTAAGCCATTCTTCTTGCTCTCTTATCTAACCGTTTCTGTGCATAGAGGCTGTTGTAAGCTTGTTATTATTCCCCTTCTTATGTTCTTCTTCAATCCCTAGATAGAAGCTTTAAAATTATGTGTAAAGAAAATCTACTTTACTTTTTTCTTTTCCTTCCATCTATTGACAGACCTTAAAACAATAGACAAAAATAGTAGTTCCAGCCAATTAGGAAAGGCATAGTGAAGCCATTGTATCCAGACAGACTGTGTAAGAACTGATTTTACCTTTTAAAAGGCCACTTACCAGTCTTAAGTTTTCACAGATTCTATCGGAAGGATTGCTAGAGAACTGTGACCTTGAAGAGTGAGCAATGAAAAGCGTACAGCAGCTTCTGTGTACCAGTACTGTAAGATAGCATAGCAAAACAAATGGCATGGGTAACTTTAAAGTAGTCTTTCATTCTCGCGCACTTGTTTTTTGTTTTCTTTTTGCTATTGTTTAGCAAGTAGAGAATTGTAGATCAGACACAAGAGGCAAAGAGTCTAGCTACTGCAACAGGGAATGCCTCGTTCTCAGTGAGCCCAAGCAAATTTCGTCCAGTTGTTGATAAACTGGCCTAAATTTGCTCCATGGGTGGTCCTCTCAGCAACCTCCCATCCAACATCCTATCAGGAGCATCCCCCCCCTCCTCTCAGCAGCATCCCTCCCAAAATCAAAGAAACCAGGCGGACAATTCTCTGTTAAGCAGTGACTGCAGCCAATTGTATACAGTAACTGTTTATGTATTCTGACAGCTGTGGGCACTGGGGCCACAGCAAGAGGTTCCATGGATTGAGGAATCTGTTAGGTCCCGTTCACACTGCCGTATAATAGATGCGTGCAGCATTTGCAAATAAATGGCTCCATACACACAGCTGCGTATGGGGCGTAAAGATCCGCAAACAAAATTGAACCGAGATGCATCCGGGTGTGGAATTTCTGCGTATCTTATGCGCAGATATACGCGTGTGTGTGTGTGTGTGTGTGTGTAAGCACAGCTGTTGTGTAGCACCGCAAAACAGAAAGAAAAGCCTGAGTATGTCATATCCTAATATGGCTGCCTCCTTGTACATATCTAATTACAGACATGTCGAAAAAAGGTTATTAAAAAAAATGATTACTATCCAGCTGGTTCTTTTTACACTAATATCTCTAAACTATTAAAAACGACTCTAAAATAATTCCTTCACCTAAAAATGTAACTTGAAAAGTGGCCAAGACACGATGCAGCCAACACTGTATTTGTGTGCTTTCTGCTCATTTTCATGTGTGTGGTCACCTGAGCCTTAGCAAAGCTTGTTTATTGCTGCATGATCTAATGAAGGGATCATTGTAGGGATTGCATTGCCGTTTGTCCCTGAAAGTGGGCACAGATTCTTGTCATTGCCAGAGACGGACCAAAGGGCAGCATGTTAAACCTCTGCTATGTCTGAATATAGACCGGAGCTTTCTTGTGTGTTTACTTGGAAGCAGAAGACTTAGGATAGATCTTCCCTAGTAATATGACATGACTGGCATTGCAGAACCGTTCAGTAATCTCCTTCTTGTGGGGTCTGGTTTATTCTTGTTTCCATGGTATCTTTTGGTGCATTTTAAAATGTTACCTGGTAAGCCAAAGGGTCTTCATGACCGCAGGTTTTCCATAGCTCCATGGCTCCCTTCTAGAGCAATTTGTGTTCTGAGATGTCTTATGACAACACAACCCGCGTGGAATCCATTGTATGATGAAAAAATTTATTCAGAGTTCATCATTCCAAAAAGTAATCTGTTGCTTAGCATCCATGGATTAATGCTTTGCTTCATCCAGTTGTTACTAGGGATGCACCGGTACTGGTTTTTCAGTATCGAGTACCGATATTTATATTTCGGTACTTCCGGTAGCATAGAGCCAGCTATCCGGGCAATCGGGTACAGGGGGGCAGCCCCACTGCAAGGAAAGACGTTTAATTTGGACTTTAGTGGTCAGCAGGAGAGGTGTCCTTCTTCATTGGTGGTCGGGGGGAAAAGAATGTCTTGTTACATTAGTGGCCAGTGTAGGGCCCCCTGTTGGGTGTTGTCCATTCTAAAACTATGAAGGCACCTTCAGGTGGAAAATCAGTCATACCAATGCTCGCTGTTCTAGAAACCCTTAGCAATCTCTGAAGGATCCTCAGATTTCTAGGGAACGCTGGTTAGGAACGGCTGGTCTGAGGTCTTCCAGCCCTGTTTGTATAAAATATCATTTATAGCTGGTTTTCTCTGGGCTGTTCTTATTATTTCACATTTTTTTTTTTCCTGCAGGCCTCCACGCTCCAACCCTCGGACCACACGTACAAACAGCACCAGTTCGGTGGGCTCTGACTCCTCTGCTCTCGCAGCTCTCTCCCTGGACTCCATTGTAGCTCCAGACACTCCCATCCAGTTTGACATCATCTCCCCAGTTAGTGAAGACCAGTCTGGACAACCCAGAACGCCGGGGCAGTCTGGCAGGTACATAACCTGAAAACTGAATCTCCTGTATGAAGAATGGAGGAAATTACCTAATGGGGGAACCTCCAATCCCTTACAGCCAAGGAAGGTGCCATCTTAGCCTCTATTTGGGTTGCGGTTGCCATGTTGCTGCACATGTGATCAGCTAGGACAGCCGCCATTGGAGGGTTTGAAAGTTCGGTTAAGAGCTGAAATAAGCACACTGGCAACCCTGACAGTTGGCATGTGTTAAAAGTAACTGTTTTGAGACATATTAAATTGGTGAGTAAAGTTCCTGTTTAAGGAATTGGCCCTAACAGTCAGATCAGATAGCGGCTGTCATGATAGTAGATTGTAGTACATGATTCAAAGAAAACCGGTATCTGGTTGGTTGCTACAGACAGTTCCTCTACTTATAAATGTTCTTCATTTATATGTAGGTGCTTTAACATAGTGTATATAAAAATCCACTTATTCCTACATTTTCTTTATTATCCTTTTCTACAGGAGAACGAACCCTTTTGGGGAATCAGGAGAAAAACCTGAAGGTAATTTATATTTGTTTTCATGTATTTGTTTATGTTTATGTTTATATAGTTATTTCTTCCGTACAAATTCACTAGTAACCATATTTTAGATGCTGCAGCACCTGTATGGAATTCCTATATCTAGTTTTAGATGTGTGGTGTACTAAGCAGCTGATTGGCCATTTGAGACCCAGCCAAACAAGTTCTGCATACACTGCTCATTTGCATCAGTTCGCTAAATCCGCATCAGTGATTAGTTCTGATTGACTTAGTCAACTGCGTTGTCATTGAATGTTCCCTGTAGCTTTTAAGTTGTTTTGTGAAATTCTTTTTTTTCCCCGCTATAGATTCAATCCTCCACCAGCTATTCATTGTACGATTTCTCGGATCCATGGAAGTAAGAACAGATGAGAACACTGAAGTTGTGTATGAAACAATGCGCCAAATCCTAGCTGCACGTGCAATTCACAATATCTTTCGGATGACCGAGTCCCACCTCCTCGTGACCTGTGACTGCTTGAAGTGAGTTGTTTTGCACATTGGCAGAATGTCATTGACTGGCTCAGTTTGCAACCTTCTGGGTCATTGTTATTCTACAAGAGTAATAATGCTTTCATAGGTAGTGTCTAGTTCATAGCATAATTGGCATTGGTGACATCCAGGATAGAAACTCTTTCTTATATATACTACGACAGGCTAAATACACAGTTTAGATTGAATTCCATCGTGCCAGGAAGTGTCTTCATGATGCTGTTAGTGACTTGTGGTGTACAGGGGCTTGCAAGAAACAGAATATGTATTTATATTACTAGTCTACACAGTAAAATACTGCAGTTTGCATGTGTGAACTTGAGAGAAATAAACCTCCAAATGAAAAATAACTCCAGAAGAAATGAACAGTTGGCTGCCATCTATGTGTAGCACTTCCCTGTACAGCAGCCATTCTGAACCAGGATTCTGTGGAACCATGAGTTTCCCCCAGAGAGGTTGCTAGGGATTCCTTGAGCAGTGGCTGATTGACCTCACTTCTGGTGGTGCCTGCGTAGTTCCAGGGCCAATGCCACTTGGCAGAACAAGCAGCATGGTACCAGTGATCCTTTTAGCTCTATGAACCTGTGGCATTCTCGCAGCCATAGTAAGGGGGGGGGGGCATTCTCCCTGCTGACCACAAATGTAAGCTGAATTTCTCTTCCGGACCCCCGATGAGTTGTTTTTTAAAGGGGTTCCCCTAGACCTGAATTTTTCTTCCGGGTCCCTCTGGTGAAAAAAGGTTATGAAATGTTGCCCTATTAATTTGGTTACAATATTTTCATAAGCACGAGAACCAGTACGTGAGCCCTGGTGTTGGTAGGTGTAGAGACCATTCTCCAGCAGGCAGACCACGCCTCATAGCATTTTGCATATTTTATTGCAGTGTGATTTACCTTGATAATATTCATTCTCTCATATGTTGTGTGTACTTTCAGATTGATTGACCCCCAAACACAAGTTACACGATTAAGGGTGAGTGTTTGTACTGTGGTTTTGTTTATATGGTGCTTCCTATCAATCAGGGCTTGTTCACACCAAGTTTAGTGAGCGAGTGCTGTGCGTTCCAGCAGCTACCACTCTGGAACGCACCGCAGTTGGTGTGAACAAGTCAGAAAATTAAAATGCCCTTTTAAAAAAGATAAAGATAATTTTATTGAGCAAGCAGCTATGTGCTCTGTGTCTCTTTGCAATGAATTTCTGGATTTGTAACATTTGAGTTTAACAAATAAAGTTTGATGTTTCCCTTTCAGTTCCCATTGCCAAACGTGGTTTTGTATGCCACGCATCAGGAAAACAAGCGGTTATTTGGGTTTGTGCTGCGTACAGCGGGAGGTCATTCAGAAGGTCGCCCTGTTTCCGTGTGCTATATTTTTGAGTCAAACAACGAGGGGGAAAAGGTACAGACAGCATGCAATGTAGCCGAATTGTTCTTTTTCTGACCATCACCTAGACCAGGGGTCAGCAACCTTGAACACTCAAAGAGCCATTTGGACCCGTTTCCCACAGAAAAGAAAAACAGTGGGGGCCACAAAACCCATTTGACATCTAAAATGAAGATAACACGTCATATATCGGTTTTTACCTTTATGCTATGTATATAGGTATATGTGGGCTTAGTAACGCACTGGACTATGGGCTTAACTGAGACCCTGCAGAGCACACCAAAGATCCTGCACAGCCCATCTGAGACTCTCTATGGTGGGCTCCAAAGGGCCTCAGGTGGGCTGGTCGCCGGGGTCCCTTTCCCTGTACCTCCTCCCAACTCCTCTTACCTGTTGCTGCTGGGGCCCGGCCTCCTCCACCCCCTCCCCTGTCACCTCTGCCATGCCGCCACTGGTACAGCTGATACTCATGTAAGAGGCCCCCTTCACATGGGTACTGGCCGTGTCCCCCCTGATGGCGGTGTTCTATCAAAGTTTGTGACTACGTTACAATGTGTGACCGGTGACGCGGTCACACATTTCAATGTAATCCCGCCCAGTTTTTTGGCGGTGGAATGTGTGACCGCCAATAGGTGAAGCATTCCAGCGCTTTCTCAGCTGTTCCAGGGCAGATCGGCATCGCAAATCTTATGTGCAGGAGAACCGATCTGCCCTGGAACAGCTGATCGGTCCTGAAATGTCACTTGACTCTGCGACTCCGATCACACATTCCACCGCACTCACAAAATCGAAGAGAAGTGACATTTCAGGACCGATCAGCTGTTCCAGGGCGGATCGGTTCTCCTGCACATAAGATTTGCAATGCTGATCTGCCCTGGACAGGGAGCCGCAGCAGGGGGATGAAAGAGCCACATGCGGCTCCGGAGCCACAGGTTGCTGACCCCTGACCTAGACCATAACATGCATAATTGCCCTTTCACAACAATTCCAGAGCTGAATTCAATGTGAAGTGACAGTCGGAACCACAAAATGAGATTTCCAGCAGCTGCCGGTGTCGGAATTGAATGTCTTCTTATCATGTGTTTGCAGATTTGTGACTCGTGTGGCCTAGCTAAGCAGATCGCACTCCACGCTGAGTTGGTATGTACATTGCTGACTTTTTAAGTTTATGTGGTGAAGGTTTCTACAATCCCTACATTAGCCTTTCCTTTTTTTACATTTTGTTTTTGTTTTTCCCAAAGGACCGAAGAGCCTCTGAGAAACAGAAGGAAATCGAGAAAGTCAAAGAAAAGCAAGAAAAGGAAATCAACAAACAGAAACAGATAGAAAAGGTAACATTCCGGTACCCTGGACCACTGGCTGCTTTAAAGTGTAATATCCTCTTTTGCAGCCAAATTGGCATAATATTTAATTTGTATATGTTCCCATTGCCATAACATAACTATAAAAAAAAATCAAAATTGCTGCTTACATTTTTAATTTATTTTTTTTCTCAAAAAACTCCTATTCTATGTAATGCTAAGGAGGGGGTTGTGGAATTATATTTCCCATAATTAACCCCATCTGCCCTGTGCTGGCAGCTCTCATTATCGGTTATCTAAATTTGAACACTGTCCTATCAAAGGGTTAAACATCTCGAGGCTTCTTGAGGTTCTGCATCGTATGTTAATGAGGAAAGCTCAGTCTGTCCACACTTTTCCCTCCACTTTCACTTTTAAATTGTTCATAGTAGCTTGCAGCTATTTCTCAAAGATGCAACTTGAAAAGGTACGGAATATTTTTTCAGAAACTATTTTCAGTTTTTCTGTGAATGGAAACGCATAATAAACATATGGTGGGGGGGCTTCTCAAATTTGACTGCAAATGTGGAACTACATTTTAAGCCCCGGGAACTAACCTGATCAAAGCACAGATTCAGTTCCTTGTGTACAATATTGAGAAGTGATGGGTAAAAAACTATCATTTTTGGTCTTGACATTTTAGTCCTTTATATCCTCCTGTAGACTAGTCATTACTTTTTCTTCAGAAAGCTTGCACTATGATTTGTTGAAAGCATAATGTGTACAAGCGATTAGATAAATAGCTCTATATGTGCTATTACCATACTGCCCGATTATGTCTAGTACTTTAAGTTAGAGGTGCACCAAAATGAAAGTTTCAAAAACGAAGCCGAAATGAAAAAAAATTTCAGGCTGAAACCATTTTTTATTTAAAAAAAAAAATGCTTGGGGGAAATATTAGGGGTCTAAACAGCCCCCTGATATTTCCTTTTAAAATAGAAAAAGAGATTGGGGACACAGAGTCCTCAATCTCTTTTTCTGCAGCCCCTGTTATAAATGAACAGGAATCCTCTATACTGAGTGTTCCTGTTCATTTATAACATGAGTGCATAGTGTGTTTACTATAACTACAACTATGAATGAACAGGAGGTGGTGTAGATCACTTCCCATTCATTCATAATTGGGGATATAGTAACCATACTCTGTCGTCAATTATGTACAATCACTCAGCGATCACTGTCTGCTTGGACCCGCTATCCTTCCAGACACGCTGTCACAGGAGGCTTAGCTGAGCTCATCCTTCAGTGGCAGCGCTGGCTGTCTCTGCCCACACACGGCTCTCTCGATCTGTGACAGGAGGCTGAGCGGTGTGGGAGGAGAGATGCCGGCCGCTCGCAGTGCTCGGCCGCCTGTGACAGTTTCTCTTCTCCCCGCTGGGACACACTGAGAGAATGAACGGTTGCACCGCTATATCTGCAAGAAAATGGCACTTTGGTATTTTGCCAAAAGTGCCATTTTCAGCCGATATGTTTCGGCAGGCGATATATTGGTGCATCCGTTCTTTAAGTATAACTGTACTTTCACTATCTATTATATCTCTTATGTTTTTGTATTTGTCCCTGCAGCCTGTGAAAAAATGATGGGCCAACTTTCCCGAAGATAATTCCTATTTTAGGCAACCTGGTCCATAATCTCCTAGCTCTACATCCTATTGTGCTTCACTGACATTGTCCCTAGTAAAAGGACAGTTCTACTTTAAAGAGGTCTTCTTACACCTCAGTGCCAACCTATATTTGACAATTTTAACAAGAAAGAGCCATGGGAGCATTTGCCACCTTTACAGTCATGCCGACCCTCCCTGTGAATACATGTGTTCCTGTCACTAATCTAATATGTTATATGTATTCTTTTTCAGATCTTTATGATCTATTGATAACTACATTTCTAAGGAGTGAATATATACAGTGGGGTCTATAATGGTATATCTATATGCTGTAAAAGAGAAATATTGGGAGAGTAGATGGCTCAAGTTCTCAAGCTATAGGAGTACTATCACAAACCCCTGATGGCTCAGATCACAGCTTCTCCCTGCAGAGAGTGGTGACGGTCAGTCATCACTCCCTGCAGGGATTTCCCCCTCCCCTATCACTGTTCCTCCAGCACTCATTGGAGGGACAGATGGGAGGGGGGTGGGCACAGCTGGCTCTGGCTCTAGAGAGGCAGAGCTAGCTGCAAATCAAGCAGCGGGATGGATCCCGACAATATTGTCAGGATCTTTCCTGGCTGCAGTGCGGCTCTGTGCTATCAGCATATAGCAAACCGTAGCCAGCTAGATGCTGACTTTGGGTCACAGGAGTATATTAGTAAATGTACTCCTGTGACCCAAGAGAGAACTAAAGCCAAAAAAGTTTGGGCTATAGTTCTCTTTTAACTGTTTTTAATACAAATGTATATAAAAACTGTATTACCATGTGGCTCAGGATCCCCTACATTTGAGCACCCCACACAAAATATAACCTTTTTTCAGGATTTTTCTGTCCATTTACATCACAGGTCCTCTTCAGCCCACTCTTCTTCCACTGGTGGGTAGATCCTAAATGCTGAAGAGAATGGTGCTGCTTTTACAGCATTCTCCTGTGATTTCAGGAACCCCCCCAACAAAAATGTTGTTACGTTTTCTGGCGGTAATGTCGCGTCTTAATGACATCAGAGGGGTGAGACCTGTCCACTCTGTCTATTCTGATTGGGCTACACTGGTTTAGAGTTGGTATATATGGTTTTGAGTTTCTTACACTGATCGTCATGTTAAGCCTCATGAAGGGGACCCTGCGCAGCCCCAAACGTGGCAATTTTTGATGTGACAAATATATGCGTGAATAAAGGACGTTTTATTTTTGAACACTATCCATTGGTGGGCTGGTGACATTTATGATATACATAGAGCAGAGCAATGACACACTGGGCTTATAGGAAGTGGGTTAAATCATGGTGGGTGTCATTCAACCAGGAAGAGGAGCAGTGATGGATGCTGACTGGATGTGTTTACATGTTACAGCACTGGAGATTAGGTGAGTATTGCAGCCGGAGCTCATTTCTTTTACTTTCATAAGAGGCTTTGGACTGAGATTGTTCCTTTCATATAAAGTATCTAGAAATGCCATGTCCTCACTGTATATAATGACTTCTTTATGTTTCTATTACTAAGGACTGATCCTACTACTGAAAACAAAGGCTTTAGGTTTTCAGCTTCTTGTGATATAGCTTCTGTTCTTCTGCCATGTTTCCTCTATCACAGGATATTGTCATTCAGAAGTCTATAATATGCTCCTCGGCTCCATCTAGTGGTGGTATTGCTGTGCGAATGGCATTCACAGAGCTTATGCAGGGCGGAAGATTTATAATTCAGCCCTTTTATGTTTGTGGGACTCGTTTTAGCCGTTTGGAATAGCGTAATAATGTTGTCCTTTTTTTGTGTGTGTGACTCCTCTACCTTGTGATCGAAACATATAAATAAAGATGATAGAAAGTGATAAGAAGAATCTGTTGCCACCAGCAACACTGACAAAGAATATTTTCTTGCCTGTTTGTTCCAGGACCTGGAGGAGCAGAGTCGCTTGATTGCCGCTTCCAGTAGACCCAACCAGGGTAGCACAGATGGACAGTTTGTGGTCCTCAACTCCAGCCAATCGGAAGACAGCGAGCTCAGTGAAGACGGAAAAAAGAAAGAGTCCGAGGCGTGAGAGCAGAAACGAGCAGAGACTTATCTGCAGTTGATGCTATGGCACAATTAGCATGTGAGACGGAGAGATATACAACACCAGAGCTCTTTTTTTAGTATTGTTTTGATTCTTCTGAAAGCCTTTTTAATGAATATATGCAGCCGTGCGTTATTTTCCCTCGAAATCCACATTTTTGCCATAGTTCTGTGACCTGTACCAGGACACGGGATTTCACTACAAAGCAATGACAGCTTTTTGTTTTTCTTTCTGCTCTGCATTTCTTCTGAAATGCTTCAACGGACTGAAGATTTTAGTATTATATGTCTTTGGGGGTTTTCTTCTGGTTTCCCTGGTCTCTAAGGTTTGTAACTGACGGTTGGAGTTGTTCTATTTTGCCTTTGTACTCTATCATTGTGTGTTTCAGAACATTGCGGACTTTGAATTGCCCTTTAAATCATTTAGGAAATATAGAAATGAAAGCGGTTCTCCAGGAAAAAGCTGCTTTCAGATAAGGGTCCAGATTTTACATCAGCCTTCAGTCCTTCATTGAAGTTATTGAGCCGAGTACTTCAAACCACTGAACAGCCCTTTCCCACTAGTGTACAAAGTAGAACTATTTCCCAGGAGACCTCTTTAGTCACAAGAATTTGTTTGTTCTCTACAGACTCTTTAGAAATATCTAATTTACAGGAAATCCGCTTTAATTGAGGGGCATGTGTGGATGATGGGGGGCTGCCACCCTTGGGCCTCCACCTCTAATCTGTTTTTGAGCAGTGCAAGAAATATTTTTGCCACGAGGTGGGTGGTGACAACTTTCTGACCCTTTTGAGATGGCTTCAAATACAAGAAAGCATTGGCAGTTCCTGATGATAATGTAAGATAGTCCAACTGATTGTGAGAAACAACTTTTGTCATCATTATGAAGTCCCTGAACTATCTCATGTTTCTTATTGATTGCTAGTGTGCATTAGATGAAGAGAACATAGGCCAAGGAATGTTGAAGAATGTTATTGAGTTCGAGCCAAAGGGAATTTCGCACAGTTGTGTATTTCGGGGCTTTGCCGCAAAAATAACTATCGATGGGATTTGATTAAATGATCCAATTTTATGTTTCAGAATTTTACAGTTTTAGACAATTTACAATTGATGGATCTCCTACAGGAAATCCTCATGAAGTTTGAATTACACAGGAATGTTCAGTGTAAGAATTGTCAACTATGCTTCGTAGGACACTTAGTGACGTCACTAGACAGAATCATGGCTGGTTAACATGCAGTAAGAAGTGCAGGAAATGGGCAGATTTCACGAAGGTGTCGCAGTGTGTTCTCTATGTATTTACATTGCTTCTCCAGGGAAGAATGACATTCGTTCTACTTACAGTGGAAGGCTTTTCAATGCATAACCAAACACTTATTAATGTTTGTGAGAAAGCCGAGGGTTTTGTGACAGCTGAGCCCTTATCTAAAGCCCTCAATCTTATCTATGTGACAGCTGAGCCCATATCTGATGTTCTAAATCTTATTTGAGTGACAGCTGAACCTGTGTCCAATGCTCTAAATCTTATCTAAGGGACAGCTAAGCCAATATCCAATGTTCTAAATCTTATCTGAATGACAGCTAAACCCTTTTCTGATGCCCCGAATCTTATGGGAGTGACAGCTGAGCCCTCATCCTATGTCCTGAATCTTATCGGAGGGACGGCTGAGCCCTCATCTTATGCCCCGAATCTTATCTGAGTGGCAGCTGAGCCCTCTTCTTATGCCCCGAATCTTATCTGAGTGGCAGCTGAGCCCTCTTCTTATGCCCCGAATCTTATCTGAGTGGCAGCTGAGCCCTCTTCTTATGCCCTGTATCTTATTCGAGTCTTTTTCCCAAGTTCAGGTGGACTGGCTATTAGGGAATGGAGTACCACATGGAAACCATACACCTGACAACCTCCCCTGATAACTAGTTCATCTCATCCTGGCTGATTTCAGTTAAGGTGCGCTCTATACGGCAATAGCCCTTTATGGTGTTTTGTTGAGATTCTTTTGTTATAAGTATATTACATGAGGATGATGTAAAGAGGTGGATGTGATCTGAGATTTCTTTATGGAGCTGGTTCAGTGAATGACCACTGGCTCGGGCAAATCTGTGCCTTGCAGATGACCTCTGTAGTATTGTAATAATGTGATCTTTTGAAGACAAGCTAAATACACATTTATTATACATATATGTGAGCTGTTTTACCCATTTTGTCATCCTGCTTAGCTAGATTTATGATCCAGGTGTGCCTACCAGACTGTACAAGCAGATCCTCCACCTCCACTGCAGCTCCTCATAGCTTGGTCAACAACAAACCTCTTTCTGCTTATTGGACAATGAGTAAGCAATAACACAATGATGAGGTCATCTCTCTGCTCAGTCTGCTCTCTTTTCACTGTCCGCACATGTGCATGACACAGAGTTTGATTGGCTTCTAGTGCTGCCCCTCCCTCTCCCAATACTCCTGCACAAGGGATTTATAGGATGGGGATTTCTAGTCAGATCCAGGTATTAACACAAGCAGCTCATCCACCATTGCAGCTCCTCACAGCTTGGTCAATAATAACTCTCTATGTTGCTTATTGGAAATTGAATGAGTAACAAAACAGTGATGAGGTAATCTCTCTGCTCATTCTGTTCTCTACTAACTCCATCACATGTGCATGACACAGAGACTGATTGGCTGCTGGTGCTGGCCCTCCCTTTCCCAGTAATCCTGCACCAGAGTTGGGATTGGGATATCTGGACAGATTAAGGTATTAGGACAAGTTGCATTGAAAAATACATCATTACATGAATGGGTGGTTTTTTACGTGTCGGCTTTAATCGTCTATCTTGTTGTGTTCTAAATGACATACAAATAGAGGGAACTGGCTTTCAAATTGTTGTTGGTTGATTCTATGTGAATGTAAGGAAGGCACTTTGTGTACTTCAGAGCAGTGTATTGGGAAGGGATTATGGAGTGATAGCTTTATCTGACCGCATGTGTTCATCACTGTATCTCCCACTGATGTAGTCATATATCTGCGTATTTCTGAATTATGGATGCAGAGAATCAACAAAATTCCCTTTTTATTTTCATGTCCATTTAATCTCCATTGTGATGTTTATGTCTAATGACGGCCATTTTCTGGCAGATCTTTTGTTGACACTGCAAAGATCCAACAATTTTTCAATAGCTGCCCCCCTCCCTTCCCCAACACTAGGTCGGCAAGTGTGGGCATTAGCTCAACGACTCAAAAATCTTTGAGTGCTTAGCAAAGCATTTGTGTGGCTGCGCCATGTTGGACTGCACCTAATGTTGTAGGTATGTCCACTTTAACTGCTCTTGTTTTCCACTCGGAGGCATAGCTGCCACTGGTGCCACGTTTCCAGTAGGGATGAACCGATACCAGTTCAGATACCAGTGCAGATACTTTTCGAGTACCAGTGCAGATACTTGGCATTTTCACGAGAACTCCCAGGGTTGCAGCGGTTGCAGCTGGGACCTGGCTCTGGCCCTCCCCCACTCTCCTGAAATCATTAGTCTGTATTGTTTTAGAAAAACTGTCACATGACAATAAACAAAAATCTATCAGTACTGGTACTTGTAAGTACTCGGCAAGTACCAGTACTCGTACTCGCAAAACTGGTATCTGTGCATCCCTATATTTTTATATTCATAAAAACAAAATCATACATTAAAACAGAGATGTACAAATCCCAGGAGCTCCGTGTGCTCCTTACAAATGACAGCTGCCTCCCTAATTTTTGCATTTTTCTCTAGTCTAGTCCTGGAGCTGGAATAGTATTGGTACTTGTACTGAGTATGGTACTTGGTATCGGTGCATCCCTAGTTTCCAGGGGCATTCCCATTGTCCATAGTTGGTCCTTGTTCTCGCTTTTTGGTGTTGACCATCTTTATGGTGGAATCACTTTGTTTTTCGGGCTGCATTCAGTTTTTGCATCCTGTGTCGGCTTTGTATGGTAGCCGTTATTAGTGTTTTTACAATTATGAAATTGTGTTTTATAAATGGATTAAAGAGACCGTATAAGAAGTCCTGCGATGGTTCAGAGTTATCTGAGGCTGCATCGCGCTCGATTGGCTGAGGGTCACATGCTCAGCAAACTATCACTGAAAGCAACTTTAAAAAATTGCCTGCTTTTTCCAGGAATTTTTTGTTTTTATTCTAGATCAAAGGTAGGCGAACTCCGGCCACACCAGGTGTGGTGCAACTACAAATCCTATTAGACATTGCAGGACTCTTGCCATGGCATGACTCCCAGAGGCAGATGCATGTTTGTAGTTTCACCACAGCTGGAGGGCCAGAGATTGCCTTCACGGTAAAAAAAAACAACAAAAAACCAGAAGGTCCTTTCCTGTAAAACCGGCACCATTGGTAAGAGGTTTTATGTCTGGTCACAGTGGGCCCAATCCACAACAGCGATAGAAAGAAGGCCTTTCTAGACTGCCTCACCAGCCAATCAGATTCCATCATTCCTTCATTGCTGAATGAGAGAAGAGGAGTGAACCTGATTGGTGGTTTTGGGGGGGAAAAAACACTATTCCGGCTTCAGACACTTTGAGAAGCGACGTGATCTATTTATTATACGACAGAAATGTCTATCAACCAAATCCTTTTAGATTTACGCTCTGGGACCTCAGAACCAACAGAATATCATTTGTGAATGTAACCCTTTGCACTAATCATTGTACATAACGCTGTTTTAATAACTATTTGTCTATAGTTTGATAAGGGAACCTAATAAATAAATATAAAGTGATGATGAATCATCCATAGTTCCATGGTGGCTTGACTGGTTTCTATTGGTGGCGGTTGGTATGTCAGGTTATATTTTTGGAAGAAGGTTATTTACTATTTCTGTTTTACCTGATTATAGGAGAGAGCTACTACAATGCATATACTGACGATCAGGGGTAGCCAAACTGCCGCCCTCCAGCTGTGGTGAAACTACAAATACTATCATGCATTTGCCTCGGTAGGCCTTGTCTGTGGCTGTCAGAGTCTTGCAATGCCTAATGGGACTTGTAGATTTATCACAGCTGGAGGGCCGCAGTGTGGCTACCCCGCGTAGATGAACGATCACACACGCATATATAGAATATAGATTTACACCTTGTGACTGATGAAAAGTGCAAGCGCTGCGCTCTGGTGACAAACCATTAAATACACAATTGTGATACATATATGTCAATGGCCTTGT